AGTGTATTTTTATTAATGAAATGGAGACCTTTTTTAAAGGTTAAAACCTCATTTAATTTTATATCTTATAGGGTTTATACTGAGTACAATATTGTATAACTGTAACAATTCAACTGTAAACCTAAAAATTTACAACCAATTTTGAAAAAGATACATCTTAGCTCAGAAAATTGTTATTGAATATGCCAGTGCTGTTGTAGTAAAATGCTCCTTCTAAGTATGTGGTTATTAAATAAATAATAAACTGAAAAAAATCAAATGGCAAAAAAGTTATTAGATATCAGCACATATAGCTGCATTTATGTGTACTTAGACATTCACATGCATTTAACATTGAAAATTAGATTGATTTACATGTCAGGGTAACTAATGTTTTGGGTATTTGTGTGTGTAGAGTGAGGAAAAACAATAAGCAAATTTCTTTAAACAATGCTTCAACACAGATTTTTTGAGCAGGGTTTGATTTCTCACAGTCTGCCTCTGATGTCTGCGTATCTGATGACAAAGCAGAGCTGAAGCTTCACTGTTTATTGTGAAAATGGTTGAGTTCTATTTGACTTGATGGAAAATTTATTCCTGTGCAATCTGAAAGAACTTTAATCCTCAAGTTTCAAAATATAAGTGAACTTGAACACTAATCCGCACCTCTGTTTTTCCAGTCAAAAAAAATCCAAGCCCAGCTGAAGGAACTCCGTTATGGCAAGAAAGATTTGTTATTTAGGGTAAGTGTGTTTCCCCTCCCTCTCGCTTGCTGTCCAACCTAAACTAGCAAAAGTGTTATTAGAATGAATGTAATTTTGTTTTTTTTTCTAGTGAATTGCAATTGACTGTGTTGAAGTTCCTTTAATTATCTTATCTACTTAAGTAATGGCAATGTGTGAATTACTAGGTCCATTTGTTATCAGAAGCAGCCTAGGTTCTAAAGTTCTTAAAGTTTCTTGTAACACTGATTTCATTAATTAAATATTTAGCAGTATTGTCTTCTGGAAGAGGCCCATAAAGTAGAGGTTATATAGAAGAAATTTGACACATGAGGTCACTGGTGACCCTGTCAAGTTGACAACTGTAGATCCATAAAGCAAAACTTTTAATTCTTATTAATTGACTTATTCTTTCACAAGATTATCCATTCAGAATCCATGATAAAAGGAATTCCAGATCACATGCATATGTTTAAAAATGAATAAATATTTTCCAGGAATTCTCAACTGAAAATTCCTGGACTTTATTGATATTATCTTCTGTGTCAAAGGAAAATTTGTAGATGTGACTAAAATAAAGCCCTTGAGGTACATGAAAAAATAGGTTTGTTATCAAGGTGGATGCTGGTTTAAACATGAGTCCTTTTAATAATGAGGCCAAACCTCAGAAAGGAAGCTATGTGGTCATAGAAACTTCAGACTGAAGGATAACTCAGGGTTCTCATCAACTTGACATTGTCAAATGAAATTCATTTCTAACTTGTCATGGAAGCCGTAGAAATTTTTGTGTAATTTTGAGGCATTAAGTTTGTGAGACTTTGTTGCAGCAACAAAATCAAGAAAGTGCACACACTTTCACCGCAGAGCAGGCAACAGTGGTTCCTGTGGTCATTGCATGCATTGTACGTTTGCCTCACCCATTGATGCACAGGGACAGAGATTCAGCTTTAAGCATACTATATTAATTTTTCATTAAAGTAGGTAAAAGTTTTATGTAATATTTACCTTGGAACCCATTTGCACTTTAATGATCACCTTAAACTACAAAATTGAGAGTTGCCTGTATAGTTAACAAATATTTATTGATTAAGTTCAGTGTTTCCTCTAGTGAAAATGAGTAATCAGACCTCTGTGTTATGTTACTCTTGGTTTTAGACATAGGATGTGTTCTGATTATGCCAACTGGTATTTATATGTAACATATGATTGTGACACATTTTGCTCTGTGCTCTTCCTGACTTTTCTTTAACTCACATTTCAAAGCACCCCAAGAAACCTTGGAATCTGTAGGACATGAAGTCCCTAAGACCTGGGGAAAATTGTGACTACTGGTCAGTCTGTTCAATTAAGAATGGGTAGCTTTATGTGCTAGAAAGATGACTCAGTAGAAAGGAGCACCGGCTGCTTTTCCAGAGGACCCAGTTTGGTTCCCAACAACCACATGGTGGCAAACAACTGTTTTTACCCTCAGTTCAAGGGGATCCCGTGCTCTCTTCTGTCTTCCACGGACATTTCAAGAAAGAGATGCACCTGCATTCAGACAGGCAAAACACTCAATATATAATAAATGAATAAAAGAGAATGGGTACCTATGTTTAAATGTGATTGAACAAGGTATAGGATGTCATAATGAACAGAAAAGTTCAGAAAGACCTGTCTTCACAATTCCTCTTGGCCTCTCTGATATCTCCTTCTCCTGAGGCTTTGCCTGTGCCCTTTGGAGCATTGTATCTGTGACCTGCTACTAGTCACAGCAGGTTAGAGCGTTTCCATGGCCAGCTCTTATGAAGAAATGGAGGAAAGACAGGATTTTATCGCCATTGCATTTGGGAAAGAGTGGTCCTCTTTCTATTACTCCTGTGGGAACGAGAAAAGGACAGAAAGTCATGCCAAGTGTCTGACACTCTTCCAGTGTTGTTCAAAGAAAGTATTCCACTTTTCAAGATAGCACACATTGGGTCACAAAACATTTATGCTTATCCAATGGTGTGAAGTCTATGGCTTTGTTAGACCCTCATACAATCCTTATAAGACAGAGATGATGGATATGGAATTAATTTCACAAAGAAGGGATTGAGGCCTTAGCAAAGTTGAACCTTAGAAATGAACAACTAAAGCTTTTATTTTATTATTTATTAATTATTAATTATTATTATTTATTACTTATTTAGTTTATTATTTATTTACTTACTGTGATTTATTTTGAAAACCATCCTGGGTTGTATAAGTCACATATATTTTCAAGGTTTTATAGTTATTCCTTGATAAATAGTCCTACAGAAAATGCTTGTGTTATCATATAAAAATGCTGACTAAATTGTTTTTTGACTCTGTGGTTATTCTGTCTGATAGAATTCATAGCACTGGATAAAGTATAAATGTTTTGTGACTCAGCTTGTGCTACCTTGGAAAGCTAAGTGCTTTCATTGAACAGCACTGGAAGATTGTCAGCCATGCTCTGTGACTTCTGCCATTTTCTCTCCCTCACAGGGAATAACAGAAACTAGAATCACTCTCCCCAATGCAATGGCAACAACACTCTGTCCTTCCTCTGGTTTTCTTCACAAGCCCTGGCCACAGGCATTCTCTGACCTACGATGGTTAGATCATAGCCACTGATCTATGTAGATCATCGGAGACAGCCATTCTGTCTGAAACCCAGGCATCATAATGTCAGGTGCCATAGCCATAACCCATTGCTCACAGTATCCTATCGGGTGCAGACAAGTGAGTGCCTACCTCTGCTAGGGTCCCACCCATGACATATGAATATCAATACTATAGCATTCTCTGTAACTAGTAGCTTAGGTTATAGTGGGCACCCCCTTAAAAACAGCCTGGTGAGAGATCAGTAAAACTATCTTTTTAAATTTTCCTTTATATTTTTGGATATATAGTAAGTATATTTCTAGCTTACTGAGGAATCTCCACACTGATTTCCATAGTGTCTGTACCAGTTTCACTTTTACCAGTAGTAGTTGTAAGTGCTGCCCTTCCTCCATATCCTCAGGAACATTTATCATAGTTTGTTTTGGGGATCTTAGCCATTCTGATGGAGTACGATGAATTCTCGAAGTAGCTTAAATTTGCATTTTCTTGATGACTAAGGAAGTTGAACATGTTTTAAAATATTTCTCAGCCATTTTCATTTTATCTTTTGACAACTCCCTGTTTGGTTCTATGCCTCAATTTTGAATTGTATTGTGGATTATTTTTGGATGTTTCTTTGTATACTCTAGATCTTAGCCCTGTATCAGAGGAATAGCTCATAAGGATTTCTTTTTCCCATTCTGCGGCATGATGCATGTCCTTTGTTGTATGGAAGATCTTAGTTTCATGAGATCCCATTTGTCAGTTGGTGAATTTAATGCCTGTGCTATAGGAATCCTGTTCAGAAAGACATTTCTTGTGCCTATAAGTTCCAGTATACTCCTCAAATTTCTTTTTATGCGAATCAGCATACTGAGTCTTATGCTGAGGTCTTTCATCCATTAGGAGTTGAGCTCTGTGCTGGGCAAGAATTTCCTGCTCCTGTCTTTGACTGTACAGTTTGACCAGCACTATTTATGGTACTTTCTCTCTCTTCTCCAGTATTTTGGTTGAAAATTGGATGGTTGTAAATGCATGGGCTTACATCAGGTTCATAAGTTCCGTTCCACTGGTCCGTGTGTCTAATTTTAAGCAGTACCATATGCTTTTTACTACCAAAGCTCTATAACGTAATTTGAGTTCAGGGACGGCAACGCCTTCAGAAGTTCTTTCATTGTTAGGGATAGTCTTGAATATCTTGGTTTGTGCTTTTGTTTTCTTTCCATCTAAAATCCGAATTAATTTTTTCAATTTTTGTGAAGTATTGTGTGGGAATTTTTAAACTTTTAATGTTTTTTCTTCATTTTCATTGAATTTTTGTGAATTACATACAATATATTTTGATTACATTAAGACGCCCTCCCCATCCCCTTACAGCCCCACCCCACTGGGTTTCATGTACTCTGTCATATATATTAAGGTCTATCAAATCAAAATTCTGTCCCCAAATTTTCTTTGGTATGGGTCAGTTCACCGAAGCCTGATTAACATGTTACGTCAAACCCTTAAATAAAATCCACTCTCCCTCGCCTAATGTTATTGATTGTCAAAATTTCATCAGCTAAGGGTGGGAATTCTCCTCTACTTTCCCATTTCTATGCAGGGATTTTGTCTGGCTTGAGTTTATATGGGTCTTGTACATGCTGTTACCATTGTAAATTTATATGAAAAACTTCCCAGCTGTTTGGAAAACTCTGCTTCCCTGTGGTCATTCACCACCTCTGGCTCTTACAATATTTCTGCCTCCTCTTCCACAATCGTCCCTGAGCCTTGTGTGGCAGAGATTTGATATAGGTGTCCTATTTATGGATAAGCTTTCGGCAATCTCCTTTTCTCTTGCTCTCTGACCAGTTGTGGCTTTCTGGGTTAATCACCATCTGTGCCTGAGGAAGCTTTGTGGGTGAGAGTTGAGAGACGCATGTTCCATGAACCTTAACTATAGAGGTTACATTATAAACGTGTCACTTAGGACTGGGCACCTCACAGACACTTATTCTCTTCAGCTGATCAGGTGTGGAATTTTGTAATAGTCTCCATCTGTTGCAAAAAGAAGCTTCTTTGTTGAGCGTTGAGAGGTACACTTGTCTGTAAATATAACTATATTTATAAATATATGTAAATGTAACTATATTTAGATTACAGTAAGGAATTACATTGGTGTAGGCATATGACAAAAGTAGGTTTTTATCTAGGATCTATGACCTCTCCAGCCATGTGTATTTAGCTATGTTTACATTACCACATGTGTGACCCCTCCCACTGAGTGGGCCTTAAGTCTAATTAGACAGCTGTTTATTATCCCCAAGCTAAAATGCGACTACTGCACTAATAGAGATTATTTGCTGGTCTGGTCATTGTTGAGGTTCATGAACTTTACACCTGAATGGGTCCATTGGTTGTTTTCTCCCATGGCAGTTTTCTTAGTATCTTCT